ATAAACATAAACATAAGCTAAAGTACTAAACTACCCTTAGATAACAATAACACTTTAACATTTTTCTTTTTGTTTGCTAGTATTTTTAAAAACAAAATGGTTTATGTCACCAGATTTTTGTTGTTGTTTTATGTAATTGCCTAGTTGGATGCTTGTGATTAGTTCCATGTTTGGAATAAATTATATTATGAAGAAAGTTATATATATCTTTCCATGTTTGCGATGATAAAAGTTGGTGACCTTTAGCTATATTTAGAACTTAAGTTATATGTCTTTTAATAGGAATGGGGGAAGGGAAGTCAAACCCTTTACCAACTAGTTAGGCAGGCTAGGTGTGAGTGTTAGAAATGTTTTGTCAATGTATTTTTGTTTCTCATTCATTTTCTGAATTTGGAATCTTTTTTTTTTTCTTCTTCTTTTTCTTTGGTCTCAAAATTGGGTTATGGCTGTATGGGGCTTAGTGGAGCTTACAATGCTCTTGTCTCTGATGAGGATGGCATTGTAATAATCAAGTATGCATTCAGTAAAGGAATTACTTTCTTTGATACGTCAGATATTTATGGTGTTGACCACTCTAACGAAATATTAGTGGGAAAGGAAATGCTTTCATTAAGATGGTACTTGAGCATCTGGGCTTGTTATGGGAATTTGGTTATAGCCATTTATTACATTTAACATACTCTGTTTTAGAGAAATATAAAGAATTGAACTTAGTAAGTCTTAAGAAATTGAAAGATTTTGTTGAAACTATTTCTTGGGAGAATCCTTGAAAAGAAAAACATGAGTTCTTGTTGTTGGTGGTGTCGTCCTGTTGGGTGTTGGGGAGGGTTGAGTTGAATTTATTTTCCTTATTGATTTTTGTTGATTCTTAGTTGGCTGAGATGTAATTTTCTTGGTGTGGATTGTTTTTGTTGGTATCGTCTTGATGCTCGTTTTCTAATAAAGTTACTCTTATTTATAAAATAAAATTAAAAAAAGAAAAAGAAAACATGAGTTCTTCCCTACTCTACATTGGTATAAAGGACCATTAGGATTATGCTCATTTAAAGACTTGTTAAAAAGATGTCATATGTCCCAGATCAATTTTTCTTAGCGAAATGGCATCTAAGTTGAAACAACTCAAAAAAAGTGCATTTTTGTGGAGGTGCAAGTGGGAGTTGTGTTCTATGCCACAACTTTCACTGATACTGGACTAAGACCAACTTGTATCTTCATGAAAGTTGTAATTATTTTGAGTTGGTCCCACTAAAACACAATTTTCCATTTTTCCAATCACACTTTCTGTGTCTTTTTTTTTTTTGATTTTTTTGAACATGGAGGTAGGTCAATAAGGGAGGAAGTAGCTCGTAATAAGGAAAACCAATACTATAAGTTCTATCGTAGGATTAGGAATTTTGAAGTGGAGGTTGCACTTAAGAAAATGAAATCGAATAAGACTTTAGGACCCGATGATATCGCTATTGAAGCTTGGAAATGTTTGGGTAAGAAAGGGTTTGCTTGATTGGCTAGGTTATTTAGCAAGATTTTGTTGAATAGGAAAATGCTAGAGGAGTAGAGGAAGAATATTTTAGTGCCAATCTATAAGAATGAAGGAGATGTCCAGAATTGTAATAATTATAGAGGAATCAAGTTAATGTATCATATAATGAAAGTGTGAGAGAGAGTGCTGGAATGTCGATTGCGAGATATAATAGAGGTGTTAGAGAATCAATTTGGGTTTATACTTGGTAGGTCAACAATGGAAGTGATCTATCTTTAGAGGAGAATAATAGAAAAGTATTAAGGAAAGAAAAGAGACATTCATAGGGTTTTTATCAATCTTGAGAAAGCATATAATAGAGTGCCTTGGAATCTAATATGGTGGGTGTTAGAGAAGCAAAGGACGACAAAAAGTTACATTGATGTGATTAGGGACATGTGTGGCAATGTGATGACCACTATTAGATTGCTTGCTGGAGAGACAAATGGATTTCCAATTACTATAGGGTTATACCAAGGATCAACCTTAAGTCCTTATCTTTCTACTTTAGTTATGGATGAGTTGACGAAAAAAATTTAAGATGATGTGCCGTGGTGTATGTTTTTTGCAAATGATATCGTATTAGTGGACAAGATTAGAGGAGTCAACACTAAGTTAGAGACTTAGAGAGAAACACTTGAATTTAAAGGTTTTAGGATAAGCAGAACTAAGACAGAGTACATGGAGTGTAATTTTAGTAACAGTAACAATAGAAGTAGAGAAGAAGTGAAGATTGAGAACCAAGAACTACTTAAGAGTGAAACATTTTCGTTATTTAGGATCGATTATCACAATGGCTGGGGAGATTGGAGCGGATGTGGCCCATAGAATTAAGGCGGGGTGGCTTAAGTGAAGGAGTGCATCTGGGGTACTATGCGATAAATGAATACCCACTAGACTAAAAGGAAAGTTCTATAGAATGGCTATTACACTCGCAATGTTGTATGGGACGAAATGTTGGGCAACTAAGAAACAACATGTAGATAAGATGAGTGTTGATGAGATGAGGATGCTAAGGTAGATGTGTGGCAAGACTAGGAAAGATAGAATTAGGAATGAGTATATTCGAGAATGGGTAGGAGTAGCACCGATAGAAGCTAAGTTGAGAGAGAATAGATTGAGATGGTTTGGTTATATACAATGAAGACCAACAGAGGCAGTAGTGAAAAGATGTGATGCAGTGGCGGTAGATGGAAGTGTTGGGGGACACAGGGTAAACCTAAATTGATGTGGGATAGTGTAGTAAATAGAAATATGAATCTCCTTAATTTGATTAGTGAAATGGCCTTTGATAGAGTCGAGTGGAGGAGAAGGATTCGTGTAGTCGACCTCATTTAATGGGACTTAAGACTTGGCTTGGTTTGGTATACTTTCTCTATCTTTGTTTATTTTGTTTTTTACTATTTTTTATGTTGCCCAAAGCATGTTTTGGACCATATCCAACAACCTATGAAGTAAGGATATTGATACGGGATACAGGTACGGGATACAAATACAATACGGTACGGATACGGCCGTACAATAAAATCTAATAAAATTAGATACGAGTATGGCAAGGATATGTTGAATTTTTATTTTTTCTTTTTTTCTTTCTTATTTTTAGTATTATATTATACATGAGCTCAAAGAATAGTGAGAAACCATTATTTAGATATTAATTAGAGATTATTTCATTTTTATCCTTATACTTTGTCACGATTTTCAATGACCCCCTAGACTATTATTTTCATGCGTACCCCTGTACTATTTAAGTTACTATCAATTTTGCCCTTGCCGTCAAATTTGAAACCGAAAAAGTTAAAAAAAATTACATTTTGGCCCCAAATTTCAAAACAAAGATGCAAACCCACCCTTTTCCTACCAGCAAACCACCACCAGCAACCACCACTTCAAGCCCTTCTATCTCCTTTGTCATAACTCTGTTTCGCCTCATTTTTATGTCGTTGGATTTAACTCACGGTCTAGTTTTCGTATCACATCTTACACGTCTCATTCTTTCTCTTTTTGCATGGTATTGGAGCTCCGAAAGTCGATAAAAAAAATGAGAAGATTTTTCTTCTCGTTTTCAACTTTTCTTCAAGCCATCTTTCGGACTTCATATATTTCTCGATTCTTCACCGTTCTACTTCATTCTTTCGCCATGCTGTTCACCTCACTTTCTACTTCACCCTACACTATCTCACTTTCTCACTTCTTCGAGTAATAGGCGGTTTTGGTATACTGAAAGTTGACCGAAAACTAATTTCAAAAATTTCAAAAGAGAAAACAAACGCAACCCACAAATCTAAAAAGCAAACAATTCCAAACCATGCATCCTAAAAGAGACATAACAACACAATCAAAACACCGAATATTAGAAACCCAGAATTATAATTCATCAAACAATCCAATTAATCAATAGAATAAAATAAAAATTTTAATTTTTTTTTATTATAACAAGAGAAAGATCGATAACATGATGGTTGATCAACCTTATAACATGATGGTTGATCAACCCAAAACAGCCACTTTTCAGGATTTACCTACTCATTAGGGCCAACTTGTTTAGATGTAATGCTCCATAACTACACATTTTTTAGATCCTCTATTCATTAAATATGAGCTCCAAACTAGTCACTACACATGATTGAGTTTGTGATAAGATATATAGAACTCACACAAGGTGTTGCAAATACAGCCCGAAAAGAGCACATAGCAGCTGCATAAGGAACCCTACCAGATTCCAATTGTTAGAGAAACTAAGAGGTAACACAAATTAGGTAACCATCAGCAATAACACTACTGTGAAAAGGAAAAAACTTGCAAGAGCTTTTTGGGCTGCAAGGAAGTAGCCAGGAAGACCATGCAATGCTGTATAGAAACACCTGCATTGAAGGCCATAAATAGTAAATCAAAACTTTGTATGTTTTGGTTGGAGTTTCTGAGTAGGTAAATTATGCAACTATAGGAAATTTATGTATAAGTGAAGAAGAATAAGAAGAATGAGGAAGATGGAGAAGAAAGAAACAAAAGATGAATATTTTGAAATTTTTGAAATTAGTTTTCGGACAACTTTCGACATACCAAAACCGCCAATTACACGAAGAAGTGAGAAAGCGAGGTAGTGTAGGGCGAAGTAGGAAGTGAGGTGAAGACAATGGCGAAAGAATGAAGTCAAACTGTGAAGAATCAAAAAAGATATGAAGTCTGAAAGATGGCTCAAAGAAAAGTCGAAAATGAGAAGAAAAGTCTTTTTTTTTTTGTTATCGACATTTAGAGCTCTGATAGCATACGAAAAGAGGAAGAATGAGACATGTGAGATGTGATACAAAAACTAGACCGTGAGTTGAATCCAACGACATAAAAATGAGGCGAAACAAAGTTATGACGAAGGAGATAGAAGGGCTTGAAGTGGTGGTTACTGCTGGTGGTTTGCTGGTAGGAAAAGGGTGGGTTTTCATCTTTCTTTTGAAATTTGGGGCCAAAATATAATTTTTTAAACTTTTTTTCCGTTTCAAATCTGATGGCAGGGGCAAAATTGATAGCAATTTATATAGTATAGGGGTACGTGTGAAAATAAAAGTAGTCTGGGGAGGTTGTTGAAAATTATGACAAAGTATAAGGGTAAAAATGAAATAATCTCTATTAATTAGAGTAAGAGCCAGTTTACTTTTTGTTTTTTTGAGCCGATAACTAATTTGATAATATTTGAAAAGGTAGAGTACTACTTTAATTTCACTATTTTCTTCTTGGGTAAGAAATTAGAAAATATTGAAAAATTATTCGTGTATCTATTTTAACAATTATACTCTAATAATATGCAAAATTATTACAATTTCATTTTCATAATAGTTTGGATATGTGACCTAGATTATCCAGAAAGTATGCAATACTTCTCAAAATTGGCATCAAATATTACATACGTTTTAGGAAGTATTGGATATGTAACCGTGAGTATCTGAGGAGTTTTGGTATCCAATATGGGTACAATACAGATAAAATTTCCTTTTAGAAGTATTTATGCTATGAGTCCAAGAAAGGAAAGGGAAAAAAGTTCGGTTTTGAAAGGTTTTAGAGCTATACTTCTTTGATTATTAATGTTGTCATTTTTCCGGCATTATTGAATAGGATGCGTTTTCAACTAATCTACAAGATAAGACCTAATTATGAATGTTTTGTATTCACACCTTTAGAGTGGAGACTCCGCTAACTTTTTGAAAGGTTTTGGTACTATACTTGATTTGATTGTTGCTGTTTTTCTTGCATCATTGAATAGGATGTGTTACAGATTGATCTGATAGATAAGACTTGAACTAATAACACTTACAGAGTGGAGGCTACATTTGGGAGATAGTGTTCTCTTTTCATAGTTTTTTTAACAAGAAATGAAATATTCGAGGAGGATATTAATACTTTTTGTTTTGATGGTTTACTTGGGTATGACTATAACTATAACTGTAGTTGTTCTTATTAATGAGATAAGGGAAAACAAATAAATATGTAGAATATGATACATACAAAATACAGTCGGAGTTTAACTGGAAAATTTTGTTTCACTTTCATAATCTATTTTCTAAATTTTTTTGAATAAAATAGAAGCTAGTCTGATAAAAATAAGCCCCAAAAAGGTATTTTCAAAATTTCAAAGAATATTTCTATATCCCCAAAAGATAAAGCCGTGTGAAAATGATGAGTATTTTTCATTTGGGCAAATTATACAAATGGTCCCTGTAGTTTACACATTTTGTCATTTTGATCCCTCTAATTTCAATTTGCTCGATTTCGATCTTGAATTTTGAACTATGTATCATTTTGGTCCAATTGAAAATGAAAATTAAGAAATTGGACGGAAAATTTGCATGTGAATGACATGTGATTGGTTTCCAAGGGCAAAATAGACATTTTGCTTTCTCTTTTAGCTTCTTCCTTGCTTGTGATTAAACAGAGCCACCGATCACCGTCATCCGCCGTTCCACTGCCTTCCTCTGTCGCTGCCACAGCCAAACAACAATCCCAACATCAACAGATCATCATAACTATCAAAAATTACAAAACAAAATCTAATTTTCTATCCTAGATCAAAAATCACAACACAAAGATATCTTGAAGTCCTCTCCATCAACAGTCTTCACACCTTGTAATTCCTTCATAAACTGTGAAACCATCACATACTGACCATCGTTTAAAGACACCTTCGGGTCGTGCTTGGCATGAGCTTGTCTCGGTCTCCCCACAACAGTTATACGAGAACCCAATGTCAATCCACATAGAAAAACAATGATTCCTACGCAGTCTATGAATTCAGACGCTGACAATGAAATCGAATTTGGGCATGACTTGGTTCGATTCTCTGTAGTCTTTCTCACATCGTTTCAAACTTTCCCTGATTCGAGATCATCCCAGAGCTTCTTCTCCCAATTCGAATGCCTCTTTCTTCGACTTCAAAATCCCTGAAAACTCATTTTTACTACTACTATTCTTAACACTATTCCCGAAATTCAAACTTGATAGAGTTTGTACTCTCTAATTTGCCTCTCGAGCCTTCTCGATTGTGAATGTTGGTGATTCGAATCTCTTAGAGGGACCTCCAAGGGCCGAATTGGAGCTTCTTTTTCTACCAATTCTTCTTCCCTTTGAAGCTCTAGAGGCCGAGACAATACGCCATTGAAGAACCCATTCAAACCCTCGTGTCATAGCACTGAACCCAGTTCTGAACACAAAAGGAACTTTTAAAGTAACCATGAACACATACAAAAACCCAACACAAATCAAAATTTGAATCGATCTCTATCGACTCAGATGGCCTCGGCTGAATAGGGTTCAGGGTTTTGGTTAAAACTCTTCTTTTTAGGGGCTTTCTCTCCATCGCGTCACCCTGCCTCTTCCACAATGTTGAGCCATCACCCCACTCCTTTCATTCCAAACTTGCGGCAGCAACCGCCATGCCATCACCTTACGTTGCCTTGCCATCCCTCATAGGCCCTCGACGCCACCTCCCTCTCCCTCTCCTACCCCCACCCCGAACTCTTCGACATCTCCTCCTCACTCCACATTCTCTCTCTCTCTCTCTCTCTCTCTCTCTCTCTCTCTCTCGCTCTCTTTCTTGTAGAGATATATATATACATATATATCATTGAGTTAAATGGGAGTAAGTTAACTCACTTTGAGTTAGATGAGTTAATTAAGAGATAGCAAATTGACTTTTTTGCCCTTAAAAACTCTGCACATGTTGTCCACGTGGGCCTTTTCCGTCCAAATGCTTAGCAGAAGTTATCTATTGGACCAAAATGATACATAGTTCAAAATTCAAGGTTAAAATCGAGCAAATTGAAATTAGAGGGACCAAAATGACACGTGTAAATTACAGGGACCATTTGCATATTTGCCCTTCTCATTTGCTACACCAAATTAGTTTTTAGTTTATTTGAATTTTTTTTTTCAGAAAATTTATTCTAAAAATCAAACCAAAGAGTCTTGTTGGCTGTTTTCCAAAGAAAAAATGAATATGCTTTTGCAATTTTGTGTGATATTTCAGTTGTTGATCCTAATATTTGCAAGCATTAAAGGATTTGCCTCAAGAAAAAGTTCAGTTAGCTACGAAATTTGGAATTGTCAAAATGGAACCTACTCAAGTTGTGGTGAAGGGTACTGTTAAATATGTTTGCTTCTGTTGTGAGGCTAGTTTGAAGGTCCTGCGTGTGGACTACATTGATCTCTACTACGTACACTGGATTGACACATTAGTACCGATAGAGGAGACTGTAAGTTTCTTGTTTATATTTGCCATTTACCAATGCACCTCAAGTCTAGTTCCTAGTTTTACGTTGGCATTTTTTTTGGTGGTGTTTTTTTGTTTTTATTGAATTTTTTTTAACTTTGAGTTATTTTTTTATGTACTTTTGAAATCCATCTAGGCTAGGGTGGTCATGGGCTTGATGGCCCAACCAGCCCAACCCATTCTATGGCTTGAGATAGATATTTGGCCCATGAGTTGAGCTGAGATTTTGAGCTCGTTTACTTTCTGAGATGGGCTTGGCATGAGTAATTCTAGCCTGGCCCCGCCATTTATAACATATTTAAAGTCCATTAAAGAAGCCCCCCCAAAAAACCCACTTTTTAGGCAATTTTGTTTTGAAAAGTACTAAACATGCATTGGTTTTTTAATCTATAGTGTACTTTTTTCAAAAAAAAATCTTTTTCCTTTTTATTTTTTTATATTTTGTAAGGATTGTCTCGTTTAGATGAACCTAAAAAGTAAAAATATTGAATCATTACTGAAGTCGATAAAAAGTAAAAAAAAAACTCCCAAAAAAACTAATGCCTAAAGGGATGCCGAAGTTTTTTTTTTCCCCCCTTATCTTTTTGACAAGATAGACAACTGTGTTATTGATTTACTTTTCTTTTGTTCTTTCTCATAAAAAGAATGGTAACTCTTGCGAAATGCGCTGATTGTGAAATTGTTAGGTAAGTCCATTAGCTTTCCGTTTATGTGTGATTGTTTAAAGCAGATGTGGGGAGCTATGGGAGATGTGAAGGTTGTGGATCTAGGATCAGATTTCTTTTTGGTAAGGCTTTCCAATAGAGATGATTATGATCATGTGCTTTTTGATGGTCCATAAGTATTGTGGGACATTATTTGTCTATTCGGAAATGGCGTCCAGAATTTCATCCCTCGGAGGCATCTCACTAAACAAGTTCTCTTCAAATCACTGCAATCAAGGTTTCAAAAAGTGGTTGCAGTGGTGCGGTCGCGGTTGCGGGGTGTAAAGCCCGTAGCGTAACAGTTGCGGTAACCGGAACCGTGAATTTTTTTATTTTTCACACAATTTGAAAAAAACTTACCCAATATGCATATTTTTTTTCTTTACAAAATCACATTTATTGGAGTTTAAACTAGATTTTGATCAATATTTGTTAGTTTTTAAGTATGATCTAATATATTTCATATTTTTAAATCAGTATAAAATAAGCTTTTTACATTTTATTTCAATAGTTAATGACTTTATATGTCATAAATCCATTTTGTGCTTCTTATTTTTATTTAGTTTTTAAGAATAATTGATTTTAAATGTTTACAAAATTATTTTTGACTAATTCCTAAACTAACTAAATAATTTTTTTTTACAATTATTAAATGAAATGATTATAAAAATAAAACAAAAATTATTTTTGAGCTACTGAATATTGCAGAATGTGTATAATGTATATTTTGTAATTTTTTTTTTTTTAATAAAGAAAGTTGTTCAGAATATTGTAAATGTGTGTAACGGTGTGTAACGAGTCGTTATGTAACACCGAAACGGCCGTTACACGTTTGAATTTCCGTTACACCGCAAAAGCGGGTGTAATGCGTTGTGCCTACCGCCGGAATTGTTACATAACGGATGCAACCGTTACGTAAGCTGTTACGTAACACTGCTTTTTGAAACCTTGATTGGAATGGTCTCTATCAGCTTCCTACTTCTCAGTCTATGTTTTCTCCTCAAACCTTGCATTCGTCTTTTCTAAAAGCATTCTCATTTTCTCAAGTAGAGAAAGCCTTTGAGAACTAGTTCAGAGCAGGAAAGTCATATGTAGTGAGGTATGACCACACTATTTATACCTATAGGACTTGTATGTCTGCAGAGAACTCAATGTGAGATTAACAGCAAAAGATATTCTATGGTTACGGAATAGGTGTTTCACGCATAAGTCGACTTGCACTTATTATATACATCCATGTTAGGAAAGGCATTACCAATAGAATCATTTAAAGAAATAGCACTACCTATTGTAAAGGAAATATCTTCTGTTGGTATTTGATTATTTGGCATTTTCATGATATGACCTATAGTAAACTTACCATCCTCAAACCAATTCCGCACTGCTACTGAGTTGTCGAACTTATCCACCAAGGGATTCGTGGAATTTCTGTGGATTGCGTTGGGGGAAATCTACCAAAGCTAGGCAAATAGATAGACTCCTTTCCCGCTGCTAATGGAGAATAAGAAACTCAAAACGAACGTGATCTCACACGAGAGAGCTTATAACTCTTGTTTTCCGCTAATAAAATGGGTATTCCCTACCCACTACACAGGTTCAACAATTTCGTTTGATTCCAGACAAGAAAGGGTAAGAACGCTTCAAATAGACTATAGTGGACATACGGATATACTTCTTGATCAACTGCACAAGAGAAGAGTAGACGAAGTGCTATGGTGCATATTCCAATTCTGGGTCGCTCTGCCATTCCTACTCCATGGGATAGTAAAGCCTATCTAGGGTCAGCTTGGTCATAAAAGTGGCAATGTGCCCTAATCTAATCAATAAGGGTCTAAGCAAGGACAAAGACGGTCTAGAGATTTACTTACAAGTCAGGCTTGTGCTGCGACATCTGCAAAGGGGTCAAGGCATGCACCTCTAAGAGCACTCAATAGGAAAGATAGATAGATAGAAAGCACTTGATTAAGTACTGGACTTGCCCCCGCCCCCCTTACGGGAACGGTTAGCTCTCTCTAAAATAAGGGTGATTTTTTCCCTAAGGTGCCTTTCTCTTGCAGGCATCCCAAAGTTGGGGGGCCTTTTTGTTTTTGTTAGGATAGACCTAGGATCTCCTGTCCTGTACTGGAAGTTGAGCAAAGGGGCCCATCCCTTCTATGGGATTGGCTAGGTATTACCTTATTGTTTGAATATCCTATGTTTCTTTATATCTATTTTTTTTCGATCAATCTGAAATATTCAAAAGAGAACTCTGACTCTTATGGTTCTAATTCCTAGATTGCTATCCTACCTACCTATTATTGAGGGAGTCTATGGTCCCTTCACAGGCATATCTAGTTTAGAAAAGACATGAAATGAGAGGGCGTGAGGCGGAAAAAGCAGAATAGACCAGACGCTCTCTGCCATGATATGTTGGTGTCGGTGAGCTTGTGAGGTAACAGAAGACCGGTGCGGACTACTGTGGGAGGAAGAGTTTTAGTTCAAGTTACCTGAGCTAACTGCTTTTCACTCGAATTACTTCACTACTCTTAGAGTGAGAAGGGAGTCGACATCAAAACTCTATCTATGTATTATAGGTTTTGTCTTTAGCCTTGACACCAGTTGATTGAATTTATAGCCGTTGTATTCATTTGAATTTATAACTATTTATAGCCGTTTATAGCTGTTGTACTCCATCATTACGAATTTGAATATCTTGCACTCCATCATTACTAATTTAAATATCTTCCACTTGAACCTTTTGGCATGCTGTTATCCTGGGCTGTTTTAACCTTTGTTTTGGGCTGTTTGAACCTCTGGTTTGGGCTGTTTGAACTCCTGATTTAATCAAATATTAAATACATTCTAACAACATTTAAGATAAAGGTTTAGGTGAGAAATAATGGGACAAAATAAATTTTGATTCTATTTTTCTCTTTCAAATAAATTAAAACATAATTAAATAAATCATCAAAATAAATA